GATAATAGTAATAATAATAATCATTATTATTCCTATCATTGTTCATAATATCATAATATCATCATTATTATTGTTACTATGATCATCATTGTTATTATTATTTTCATTATTATTATTATCATTATTATCATCATCATTTTTTATATTTTTGTGAACTGTCTCTGTACATAGGTGGCTCTGCTAGTGCTTAGCCACAAAGGAGTCAATTAGCAGATCTTGAGACCTTATTTAATTTCACTTTCTTGAATTGGCGGGAAAACATATTTGTTACTAGTGCTATAAATATCGATGTTGTTATTTTTATCATAAACATTACAATTACTATAATGTTATAAACATAAGTAACGGCAAAATAAGATAACATAAAGTATTTTCGTAAATCAATGAAAAGGGTGAACGGGCGAGACAGGCAGTACTCATAACTAGCTCATTGGTGACTTAGTGCAAGTGTAGGCATCTATGCGCCAAAACAATTAAACAAGTAAACTCACAGTGGGCATGGCATGTACCTACATGCCATGCCCGTCGACAATGGGTTAATATCAATTATAGTAATAATAATAATAATAATAATAATGATAATAATGATAATAATGATAATAATAATAATAATAATAATAATAATAATAATAATGATAATAATGATAATAATAATGATAATAATGATAATAATAATAATAATGATGATAATAATGATAATAATAATAACAATGATAATAATGATAATAATAATAATAATAATGATAATAATAATAATAATAATAATGATAATTACTATTACCATCATCATCATTAATTTCTATCATTACAATTTAATTCAAGTATTATCATTTTTATTACTATTATTATGATTATGGTTAGGGTGATTATTTTTTATCATTGTCATTCTTGTTATCATTATTACTGCTATTATTATTTTTTTTTTTTCATTATTGCTATCAGTATTATTAATATTGTCATCTTTGTTATTGTTATTATTTTCAAAATTATCATTATTATTATTATTGTTTTTGTTGTTGTTGTTTTTACCACTATTGTTATTATTATTATCATTATTATTATTATTTTATTATTATTATTACTATTATCATTATTATATTATTTCTTCATCATATTATATTATATTATTGTTATATTATATATCATATTATCCTTATGATCGTTTATGACTTCTTTATGTTCTTCTAATTCTATAAATATCATCATTATCATTATTATTCTTATGATTATTAATATCATTATCTTTATTAGAGTTATCATTATGATCAGTAATATCACTATAATTATCACTTTTACTATCACTTCCTCTACTATTATCATTATCTTTCTCATTTGTATAGAATGTATGAATGAGAATGGATATCTTCATAATACAAGATATGTATTTAAATACATCTCTTGAATTGTGAAGATATTCATTCTCATTCATACTTTTTATATATTTGTCAAGATAATTACGGTCCTTCATTACTATTGGCATTATTATTATCATTGTCATTACCATTTTTATCAATTTCGCCATTATCATTATCATCATTATTTTTATTATTAGTGTTAATATTAGTATTATCACTATCAATAATATTATTAGTATTACTATTATCATTATTATTATCATTATTATATCAGAAGTAATAGCAGTAATGTCATTATCATCGTCATAATTATTTCTATCATCATCATAATTTTCATTATTATTATCAATATCATTATTGTTATTATTACTATTACTATTATTTTTGTTATATTTTTGTTATTATTATTACTGTTATCATGATCATAATTAATTTTATTATCATCATCATTATCATTATCATCATCATTATTTCTATTTTCACCATTAGCATCAATATCAGTATTGCTATTTTTAATATTACGTTTATTATTATTATCGTTATTATTATTATTACTGTTATTGTAATCATCATCAGCAGCAGCACTATCGTCATCGTCATTACTGCACTATATACAAATCAATGAAATAACATACTGGCAAAGCATGAAAGCAAGAATCAGATATTAAGCACGAATGAAAATTCATGTCTTCTGAGCACAGGAGTTCTACTTGAGCGATTTCGATTACCTCTTCGTCAGAAATAGCATCAGCGAGAGGTACACATAATATGCATTCTCGCTGATTATATGCCTGACGAAGATATAGTCGAAATCAGTCAAATATAACTCTTGCGCCGAAAAGATATTCTTTCTCATTCATAGATTTTTTTTTTCTACCAAATAAAAAATAACATTTACTTGGTGTTTCCTTACCCGCATGATACATTCTAAGCATACAAATATGTTTCATGCGTCCAAAGAAGACTCAATTCAATCAATAAATTGGACTTATCAATTCAAAGACATCCTCACTGTAAAAGTATTATTTTGTAAGCGTAAGTACAACTTCCCATGAAACTAAGAATTATTTTTATTAGAAAGTGGTGTCTGAACGGTGGCTGTGGATATAAAAGGAACGGACAAGTCAGAGGAAGATTACGTTTGTGTATAAATAGAAAAAAGACTTCTTTTTCTCTTTCTTCTCAAACCTTACTCCTGGACTGATCTCTCTCTCGCTCTTGTGTTCGTCGGACATTTCAAGCAACGACTTTCTTTCAGATAAGTCAAGTAGGCCTACGCTGCTGCGCGAGAGAACATGGAGAAGAAACTCCTTGCAGTCTTTCCCAAGGTCGCCTGGATTCTGCTCCTCTACGTGGTAACGGAGAGGAGGTCTTGTTTTGGCTCTAACGACTGCATTTCCGGCCAAGAACTTTGTGCAATGAAAACACGGGAATCGAATAAGTTGAATGTATACGTTTAAAGCAGTAGTAATTGTAATGTATAACTTCTAATGAGTAATTTTGCATTTACGTTGGTCATTTTTCCTCTTTTTCTAGGGTTCGTGCAAGGTTAGATATGTCTCTTGCAGCGATGAAACACGAGAAGGTAATGAGTGAAAAGTTAACAGTGACATGAAAACGTGAATTTATATACTCATGCAAAGATAATATCTAGGAGACTTGTTGGAGTGATGTACAATACTGCTCTTGATGTATCTGCATTTGCTGCTCGCTATATCACTCTTGTTTCTTTATTTCTATCGCTGTTCTTAGTGTCATTCACTGAATGAGAATGACAGTGATAATGATAATAAAGACTAGAAGGGCAATTGCTACTGCTATAGTCATCATTATTAATATTGTTGCTGTTGTTATGTGTGTGTTTATAGCATCATTTGAATACAGCTATACAAGAGTGTGCTATAACGGCTGAATGCCATGACATTGGTGGCATGTGCACCTTTCACGACGATGACGTTCAGTGCGACTTCACAAATTCCGACATCTGTCAAGATTTCGGATGCAGGTGCTGTATTAGTGAGTACTATATTTCCTTTTGCATCTGGCAATTGTTAAGGCACAATAAATACAATAAGCAATATGCTGAATACTAGAAAAAAAAAGTATGTATAAGAACAATAAAACAAAAAAACATCTCTACTGGTTGCAAGTGAATCAATCATGGCAAACCCCAAAACACACGAATTTGCTGAAAGCCTTTTCGCTATGTTACTATTTCATGGCAAGAGGAAGCAATATTGCAAAGAGGCCTCCTGTGTTTTCACATTTCTCCTCTCGTTGCTATAGTTGCAATCTGTTCAAAGTAAGCTTTTACTTGATGATTACGAAAATAGCTGGTAATCGCCATGAGAAATAGAGCAATGACCAAAATGCATAAAAAACACACCAACAGATTGTACGAACCAAGCCAACGCAAGATGCAGAAGGAACTACGCAGGGTCTTGCAAGAAGGCTTGCGACGAGACTGAGCTGGAGATCTCCGGCTGCGAAGCCGGTTGCAAGTGTTGCGGCTGCAAGATCTCGCAGGCATGCATTAGCGAAGGGGGATATTGCAAAGTGGGAAAGAGAGGTTGCAATGGCAGGGTGACGAAAAAGTGTTTCGGGAGGAAATGCTACTGTTGCATCCCAGGTGAGTTTCATATTGTTTTTACCTCCTTTCTTTCTTTTACCTATTTATCTTGATAAAATAATTGTTAGTAATCACTGAGACTGTTCATTATCATTTTCTGAATCTAACCTACCGCTTTATCCCAGGTAAGTTTCAGACTACTTATCTCTTCAACTGTTTGTCTTGATAAATTCATCATTGGTGATCGCTGAATGTAGTCATCATATTCCCAGGTGCATTTTAAACAATTTGTGTTGAACCATATTAATCTATATCCTGGATTTATTATCCATGATCATTTAAACTATGGTCATTAATATTATCTTTTATTATATCTAATGATCTCTGCTGCTGCTGGTTCGTTGTTGTGCTACTATTGATTTCAAAGTCTTAGGAAAGGAGGAAGACACACTATGGGCGTGGCTATGAAACTCGCTAAAGATTTTAAGCTTAGAGATGAAGAACAAATATGTATATAAGCATCTCGCAAACTCCTTCCAGATGATCCCTGCCCAAAAGCCGTGACGTGTGAAGAAAGTGGTGTCATTGTGTTCAGCGGGTGTGGTCGGGCGCCCGGGGATGTGCGACTCAGACGTGTATCTCTGCTGCACATACAAGCATATATATATATATATATATATATATATATATATATATATATATATATATATATATATATATATATATATATATATATAATACACACACATACACATATATTTGCATTTATGTATGTATGTACATTCTGTATGTATGGATGTGAGTGTGTATGCGCGTGTCTATTTATCTATTTCTTTGTCCAATTGTAATAATATTGTGTAAGATAACCAGTAGAAGTGTTCTCGGCGCCCTGACTCTCCTTGCCCCAAACGCGCCCAGAACCGCCGGCGACGGCTGTAAAAAACAAGCCAAGACTCTGATGCGGATACGATACGCTACTTAACTAATAAAGGATACCAGCGCTGAATCTCGATCGATTGGTGTCCATGTCTCCTTGACAGATTCGTGTGAGAATACGATCAGCTGTGCCTCCATGGGCGGCCACTGCAACTCGTCATGCGCAGATGATGAGATTCCTCTGCCTGACCTCTGTCCTGCAGGAAACTGTTCCTGTTGTGTCAAAGGTAATGTTTACCTACAGCATTGTGCAACAGTGATTGTGAGTTACGTTATTACAAGTTATTATCGATTATTGTTGGCGATCTTTAAGTGATGGAATGACTGCAATTGATGCGATCACCTCATTTATGATAATGTCACTGTGCATACAAGATGGTTTGCTTTCGTTTTCTTGTCATTTTGGATGTTTTCTTTGTAGCAGAGGAATGCACGCAAAGCAAATGCTGCAGCTTTTCTGGAGGGAGATGCGACCGGGCTTGCAACGATGGAGAAGTTGCAGAAGAAGATCTTTGTGCTGGAGACTGTGTTTGCTGCTTCCAAGGTAATTCCATCTCCCCCTCTTTGTTACACTTGTCTTACTGGTATGTTGTATCACAAGTTTACAAGTCGTCATCTTCTTATTACATTTTGGATTTCAGTCTTGTTTCTAGAGATGTTATATTTTTTGTTTAAAATGTGCAATATGTTTGCTAATAGCTCTGTTCTGATTTTAATTTCGTGATTTTAATGTCCATAGATTCTAATTTGTTGTTTTCCTTTTCTTTCATGCGGTTTGCTTTGAGCTTGAAATCTGCATTTTATATATATATATATATTATTTACTTACAATCACTGCAATCAATTCATTTTTGTGAACCACGAATATCTTTATCCATCTCTTTGAATATTTAATTACACCAATTCATTTCTCAAAAGACTGTTTGAGACAGACTAACAGGTCCCTCGCCCCGTGCTCCGCTCCCCCTCTCCCCCCAGACACGTGCCCCGACAGCCCCAGGTGCCAGGCGCTGGACGGGCGCTGCGTGGAGAGCTGCGAGGCCGACGAGCTGGCCGTCCCGTGGCTCTGCGGAGGCGAAAACTGCACCTGCTGCGTCCAGAGTAAGGGCATGTCCCGAAGGGTCTGCTTAAACGTGTCTCTCTGATGATGATTCATTCGTCTATTCACCTATTCAGCTTTTCAAATTATTCGTTCAGGTGCACTTGCTTACTCACCGATAGATCCACTGGTACAGGAAGCTTTTTTCGATATTTTTTTTAACTTTCCGAAATAACTAAAAGACGCCAATTCTTGTTATATGGAAAACCTACATGCAACCCAAACCCTTGTTAGCCTCGTTGCAAACCTTGTCCCTTCCTTCCCCGACAGACAACTGCAACCAGACCAAGTGCTGCGAAGCCTTCGGCGGAAGCTGCGGCAAGGTGTGCTACGAGGGCGAGGCGCCCATTGAGGGCGTGTGCGAAGGAACGTGCCAGTGCTGCGTCAAGGGTACGGGGGACGTGTGTGTGTGTGTGTGTGTCTGTTTCTATATATTCATCTCTTGCCTGTTAGTTGACGTATCAAATTTCACCCATAACTCTTCCTGCTCTCCACCAGCCCCGTGTGAGCAGAGCAACTGCTGCACCGTGCTGGGCGGCAGCTGCAACGCCACGTGCGGCCGAGGCGAGAGAGCCGTCGAGGGCGTCTGCAACGGAGAGCACTGCCTCTGCTGCGTGCCAGGTGAGTGCCTGCGACTTGCTTGGACTAACTCAGACTTGCAAAAGAAACTTTTGCAGGAAGAAGTATTCCGAACAAAGCAAAAATAAAAATAAAATAAATAAGATATAATGAAGAAACCAATAAACAGTACACGAATTAATAAACAGATAAATTGATAAATAATATTATCACTATCATTGTCATTGTCATTCTCATTATTATCATTATTTTGATCATTATTGTTATTTCTATCATATTTTTTTCCAATTTCCTTCTTTTTCCTTCTTGGAAATGGGAAAACTAAAAAAAGATAAAATACGAGATTTGGTTTGTATTTAAGGACAAAATTAACTTCTATATCAGAATCTCCAAATAAGGATTTGGCTGCCATTACTAAAAAAAAGATTTTTGCTAATAAAAGATAAGGGCTATATTTTAACCAATTTCTCTCTCTTTTAGCCCATTTCTCTCTTTTGTTTTCTCCTTTTTTTATCCGAGAATGTAAAAAGAAAAAAAAATCTGGCACTCAAATGCATTAGTATTCATGTTTTTATTTTGTTTCGTACAAATTCATATAAATGTTGATTTTGATAATAGCTCTCATTTTTGGCAATTGTGAGTATTCAGCAATGGTATGATACACACACGCACACACACACACACACACACACACACACACGTGTGTGTGTATGTATACATGTATGTATGTACGTATATATGTATGCATGCATATATGTTTACATGTATGTACTGTTAGTGTATGTATTTGTAGTTTTGCGTGTATTTGTATAATTGCACGAAAGTCTTCGGGAATCGATCAATTGTTTCAACTATGAAATATGCTGTAAACCAATGTGGCAAATCATACGAGCTGTATTATTATTAAAATCATCCTATGATATCTAGGAAAAAATATATGTGTATATATAGAGAGAGTGACTGATAAATAGACACATAGATAGACAGATAACTAGATTAAAAGATAAATCTTTATAGTCAGACAGATAGACAGATTGATAACTGGATTGATGGATAAATCTTGATAGTCAGATAGATAGACAGATAGAAAACTATATTTAAAGATAAATCTTATCAAATATCAATTCCAGTGCTGAAAGTAGTCGGATTCACACCAATCGGTAATTTACACAATACCTTCGCATAACCGATCGCGACGATTTTGGTATCGATGGATTCCTCTCACCCTCTAGTGCACATACATGTAGGAATTATGCCGCGGAACCCCACCCCCCCAATCCTCACATTCTTGGCTCTGATAGTAGGAGAAGGCATGAAAGGTACTAGGGGTAAAACGTGAAGACTGAATGATTAATGGTTAATGGTTAAAAACAAAACGTAAATGTGCTAGACATCTAGCGTCATGTAGCACTATAGGAAAGTACAGTAAAGGGTAGTGAAGGGCAGCTGAGTTGGTAGTTAGTTGCTATATGTCAACTATCTTGAGTTATATTGGAAAGTTTAAGATGGTAATAAGGTAGGATTAGGTAAGGGGGATTAGATCAAGTGAAGGATATGTATGCATCTGAGGAAGTAGAACAGGTTGTTGAAGAAGAAAGTGTGGGATTCCGTAAGGATGTCTGAAAGGTTGGGAGGTCGGTGAAGGGAGGATAGGTGGGGGAAAGCAGGGGTACAGGCTGTAGCAAAGTGTGGACAGGACAAAAGAATGTGTGGAACTGAAAGAGAAACATTACATAAGGAACATAGGAGCGGATCAGTGTGCCAGATGGGTGTGGCCAATACGTAAGCAGGCGTCTCACAACGTCTGTTCTGATGAAATGGAGCTGACCAGGAGGAGATTGATAGTTTTACAGTATGTAAGATTGCCATCTGGTATTAAGAAAGGTCTTAAAGCTGAGGGTAATAATCCATGCCTGTTCACTACCAGGGATTCCAACATGGCTGGACACCCAGCAAAATCTGATAAATTTGTGGCATGTGAACAGGTAGAACAACCAGTTCTGAATCTTACAGACAAGAGGAATGGTTGAGTGCATAGACTTTATGAGAGATAATGAGTTGAAATATTGTAAGAGAAAGAAGGAAGCAAGTTTATGTGTCCTTATTACTTCTGTACTAAGGACACTGGATTCAGGAGGGAGGGGGTATTTAAAGGTGCGAGTTGGGAATGTTACTGTGAAACCATGTGGATTTGGAGCCATCATCGCAAATGTGAATACTGGCAGAATGAATGGAGACATAGTTAAGGAAATGGGTGAGAAGGACAGAAGGAGGTATATCTGACTTTGGTGGATCAAGGAAAACAGAGGAGCAAATATGGGGGTAAGGTATAAGCTATGGAGGAACAGAATGGACAGAAAACGGAAGAAGTCAGAGATGGGGAATTGGAGAATGGGAGAGGAGGGTATCCATGCGAATGGAGAAAGGAATAGGTAAACATGGAGATTAATCAAAGGTAGGAAGCAGGGATCGTGGAATAGTTAGTTTGGTGAGGGAAAGATGGCGGAATCAAGCAAAGCATCAGAGAGAGAGAAGGGTACAGCATCAAGAGATGGCATGTCTGACTCAGTGTACAGGCTCTCAACTGGAGAGGAGTGGACGGCGTCTAGGGCTAAGCAGAGGCGCAGTGGTGGAGTGTATCAATGTGCGCAAGAAGGGCAGTTGAAGCAGAGGAATTAGTATGACATCCATAATCAAGAGTGGGGAGGATCAAAGTAAATTGAGGTTTTATGATAGGTTTCTGATGTAAGCTCCAGGATATATGCGACAGAGTCAATAAGATTCGAAGGCGGCAGCGAGCTTTTTCTTTAATGTAAAAGATATGGTGTTGCCTGGATATTTTGGAGTCAAAAATCATGCCGAGGAATTAACCAAAAAATGGTATTCGAGTAGAGTACCATATAAAAAGAGTTGAAAGAGAGAAAAGGTTGGACAAATGGAGGTAGAAGATATATATATATTAAATAAACAAAACAAATTTGAGTTTCAGATGACTTGTTCCTATGTTTAACATAGAGAACAATTCAGTCTTCTCCGCTCACTTCTAAAACCATGTCTGCTCCAGATGCTTCTCAGATCACATCTGCTCCAGTCACTTCTAAGACCACGTCTGCTCCAGCCACTACATCTGCTCCAGTCACTACATCTGCTCCAGTCACTACGTCTGCTCCAGTCACTTCTAAGACCACGTCTGCTCCAGCCACTACATCTGCTCCAGTCACTACGTCTGCTCCAGTCCCTACGTCTGCTCCAGTCACTTCTAAGACCACGTCTGCTCCAGTCACTACGTCTGCTCCAGTCACTTCTAAGACCACATCTGCGCCAGTCACTACGTCTGCTCCAGTCACTTCTAAGACCACGTCTGCTCCAGTCACTACGACTGCTCCATTCACTTCTAAGACCACGTCTGCTCCAGTCACTACGTCTGCTCCAGTCACTTCTAAGACCACGTCTGCTCCATTCACTACGTCTACTCCAGTCACTACATCTGCTCCAATCACTTCTAAGACCACGTCTGCTCCAATCACTACGTCTGCTCCAGTCACTACATCTGCTCCAGTCACTACGTCTGCTCCAGTCACTACGTCTGCTCCAGTCACTACGTCTGCTCCAGTCACTACGTCTGCTCCAGTCACTACGTCTGCTCCAGTCACTTCTAAGACCACGTCTGCTCCAGTCACTACGTCTGCTCCAGTCACTACTTCTGCTCCAGTCACTACGTCTGCTCCAGTCACTACATCTGCTCCAGTCACTCCGTCTGCTCCAGACACTACGTCTGCTCCAGTCACTACATCTGCTCCAGTCACTACGTCTGCTCCAGTCACTACGTCTGCTCCAGACACTTCGTCTGCTCCAATCACTTCTAAGACCACGTCTGCTCCAGTCACTACGTCTGCTCTAATCACTTCTAAGACCACGTCTGCTCCAGTCACTACGTCTGCTCCAATCACTTCTAAGACCACGTCTGCTCCAGTCACTACGTCTGCTCAAGTCACTACGTCTGCTCCAATCACTTCTAAGACCACGTCTGCTCCAGTCACTACATCTGCTCCAGTCACAACGTCTGCTCCAGTCACTATATCTGCTCCAGTCACTACGTCTGCTCCAGTCACTACGTCTGCTCCAGTCACTACATCTGCTCCAGTCACTACGTTTGCCCCAGTCACTACGTCTGCTCCAATCACTTCTAAGACCACGTCTGCTCCAGTCACTATGTCTGCTCCAGTCACTACGTCTGCTCCAGTCACTACGTCTGCTCCAGTCACTACGTCTGCTCCAGTCACTACGTCTGCTCCAGTCACTACATCTGCTCCAGTCACTACGTCTGCTCCAGTCACTACGTCTGCTCCAGACACTACGTCTGCTCCAGTCACTACGTCTGCTCCAGTCACTACGTCTGCTCTCTTCTTCTAA